CTGCCCCTTGCTATTATCTTTCCCATCCATCTGCGTCCTCACACATGCATGGGTTCTGCCTGGCAGGGCCACAAGGCCCCTTGGTGCATGTGGTTCCCACGACAGAACACAAGCAGTGAGGATGTCAGCCAGCACCATGCAGCAGAGCAGGGTAAAAGGCGAGATGTGAGTAGTTTACAGGTGGGTCGCTATGTCCTTTGAGCCCACATCCGCATGCTGGGTACTGGGCCCAGGGCGTAGGGTCCAAATCACATCCTCCTGTCACAGCTCATTTTGTTGAGATGCATCCATTTTGGTTTGTTTCCATGCTTTGCTTGTGGCCACAAGCCCCAGGCACTGTGGTAGCCTGAGCCACTGCCACAGGGGCACCTATAGAGCAGAGGATGTCATGGGTTCTGTGCTGGCCGAGGGATGTATACACATCTACGAAGTTCAGTTGTTCTTGAGCTTGAACTATTGGAGGGTGCTTTTTAAGAAAATGGCAGGTGTGTTTAGATCTTGAGGGTGCCTCTTCATTGCTCACTTTAGGGCGCTGCTGGGCTGCCACCAGCACGGAGGGGCTCCTTATCTTTTCCCTGGACGCCCGAATGCTCTTTGACCCTTACGAGCTGGACACCAGCGTCACCCCTGGGCAAGTTCGTGAGGCACTGCGGCAGCGGGAGTTCACCCGTGCCATCCTCATGGCCTTCCGGCTCAACGAGAGGACACTGACACAGGAGGCACTAGAGGCTGTGCCCTGGGCAGAGAGTGAGTGCTCCTGCCTTGGCAGGTGGTGGGCAGTGCCGGTTCCTGATGTGGTTTTTCCCCAGAACAAACACCTTTTTTCCCCTTCATAGTCGAAGTCATCAGCGCATCTCTGCCCCAGCTGTATGTGGAGAAACTGCTGGAGTTCTTAGCCTCTTCCTTTGAGGTCTCTCGGCACCTTGAGTTCTACCTCATCTGGACACAGAAGCTGCTCATGTTGCATGGGCAGAAGCTGAAGTCCAGGTGTGCTGCCCTGCTCCTGGCTGCCTTGTGGAACCTGGCTGCTGGCCTGAGATGAGCCCATGTGCAGTGGGCCACACTCAGCTGTGTCTCCCTTCCAGGTCAGGACAGCTGCTGCCGACAGTCCAGTTCCTACAGAAGGGTGTCCAGCGGCACCTGGATGACGTGGCCAAACTGTGCGTGTAGCAGGGCTGGTGGGAGGGTGGTGTATGTGTGTGGGGGGATTGCCTCTGTCCTGTATTCCATGCCAGGACTTGCTCCCTGTGTCGCTGGACTTGATGGAAGTCCCAGTGTTTTAGTTGGGCAGTTCTGTTCAGGTGATACCATGAGTACATGATGTGGCTGGGCAGCCGGCTGCTGAGGTGTGGCCTCAGTGTTGGTGTCCCCAGCAGGAAAGCAGGTTAACGATAGCATGTGAAGGGCTGGGAACAGCGCTGGTCACTGTCTCTGTTCTGCAGGCACGCCCAGCCACCACACACACACCAGGTGGCTCCCTGATGGTGCTGCTTCCTGTCCCCAGAACACCCCTTTCAAAGCAGGGCCTAGATTGTGAAGACTACCCTGTCGAGCATTGTCCTCCCCACTGTCATAAGGCAGTTTCTAGGTGTCCCTCATGAGTTCCTGAAAGGCCCATTCTCTGTCCTGTTTGTCCTTTCTTTCTGTGCAGGCCAGGCTGGCCTTGAATTTGGACTTCTGCTTCAGCCTTCTGCAAGTCTTTTTTTTTTTTTTTTTTTTTTTTTTGGTGGAACCGGGGATTGAACTCAGGCCCTTGTGTTGCCAGGGAAGCACTTATTCCACTGAGCCATCTCCACAGCCTCATGGAATAAGGGTTTTTGTTTTTTTTTTTTTCTTCAGTCCTCGAATGCCTTCAGGGCACTTTTGGCCAGCGAGAGAGTTGTGAGGTTCGAACTCCAGGAACCTGAGGCTGACAGCTTTGTGGAAGCAGCCACTTAAAGGACTGAGCTAGGGCCAGGCCCCCTACTTCAGCCTTCTATGCACAGGAATTGCAGGTGTAATCTTGTGTCTTTGTAGTGAGTGACTCTGGAGCATCCAGAACATCCTCTTCCTCTACGTGCCCTTTCTGCCCAGTGCCCTGCTTGTTGTGGGGCTTGGTGTTGATGTGTAACCTGCTCCAGGAGACCGTCTTGCTAGCTGCAGGTGTCCCTGCCTCTTGTGGCTCTGACTAGGGTCCCACCTGTCAGTTTGGGCTGACACACAGATGTGTGCTGCCTGCATCTGTTTGTATTAGGGATTTAACACACAGCTGTCACTCCATGTAAGAGTGTGGCTCTTCCTAACCCTGCCTTACCAGGTGGTTCCAAGGGCAGCAGTGGTAGGCTTCATCCTGTTATTGTGGGGAAGTTTTGAGTTTGGAGGCTGCCCTGTGAAATAGAGGGGCCTGACTGGGGCCACTGGTGGCTGCTGCAGGCTGTGGTAGGGAAAGCAGATCATCTTAGTGGAAAGGGGACACACAAATGTGTCTGTTCCCTGTAAGGTGGAGGGCCATGGACCCTTTTGCTGACCCAGTGCTGTGTGCTCTTGTGTCCACAGCTGTGACTGGAACCGATACAACATCCGGTATGCCCTGGCAGTTTCCAGGCAGCAGGGCATGAAGCGCACCCTGGAAGATGCAGGGCTGGAGAAGGCTGCTGAGACCTCTGATGAGGATGCTGAGATGTCTGATGATGACAGTCTGCACCTGCTTGGAGGAGCTGAGGATGCAGTGCTGGCTTAGCTGGCACCTGTGGAGGAGAGGAACTGGTGGGCTGAGGGTGCACAGAGATGCTGAGACATCTCTGAGCAGCTTGCACAGCCCAGAATCCCATTTGTCCAGCTGGGGCACACCCTGTACACAGTGGGCCCAGGATCTGCAGGTGGTAGTTGTCAGTGTGGCCTTCGTGAGGCTTGAGTTTGTGGACTTGTGAGTTATTTATATTTTTAATACAAAGTTCTGCGGATGAACTCAGGAAGTGCAAGATTAAGTATAAACTGAATTAAAAGTATTTATAATGCGTCCTGATGTGAGAAGTGAATGTCATGCAGGGCCTGGGTGAGCAGGGTGAGGGCAGGCCACCTGCAGGGCTCTACCTGGAGGGGCAATGTGGGGGCCACACTAAAGTGGGACTCCTTGCACAGCCTCAGGTGTGAGTTCCCTGCCCCCTCTGCTCTCCTGCCCATCTCTGGACCCCACCTGACCCCTGGTCTTCCAACTGGCCCAGGTAACAGGCCCAGGAATGTGCATGAGTCACATGACATGCTGGAGCCACAGGTGTCGCAGCACAATACTTGCAGGTGCCCTTGCACATGCTGATCTGACTGCCAGGGCTGTAGCCAAGAGAAGTGGGGAGAAGTGCAGCACTCAGGCCTTGGTCACTGGCGCTAATTTCTTTTTTTTCTTTCTTTTTTTTTTTTTTTCTTTTCAAAGTTTTATTGATAAACATATAGCAATGAGACAGTTTCAAATCAAATCGAAAGTACAGTTTCAACAAATAATACACTGCATATATTCTTCTTAATGGTTAATTGCTGTACAAGATGCAGACTTGTGATCCTACTTACAAACACCATTAGAACAAATCATTCTATTCATTAAGAGAATGCAACTATATATCTATCCCAACCACTTTGAATACACAGATACAAAATGGACATTCATAGTTATACCCCAATTTTTTTTAAGTTCCGTTGTTGAATATTATAGGTGTGTAAACTCAGCAAAATATTCTAAAAGAGTACAGAAGCCCATAATAGCATTGGGTTTTCTGTTTAACTGGCAATGTCAGAAATTATTGACCTCAGTCCCCCACAGCTCAACATAACAACATGGCTTTACTTCCTATATTTCGTCTTCATACTTTTCTACTGGATGGTTAAGACCAAGGTAAAGCAGGACCTGTGCAACAAGAGTTGTAGCTTTTTGGTCTGACAAGGTCAGTGAAATGCCCTCAGGATTTATCTTGAGATCCTGTACCTCAGATTGTAGAACCTTTGTCAGTGTCAGCCATGTGGATGAGTCACGGCCAATGACTGGCGCTAATTTCTGTGGAGTACCTGCCAAGGCTGTACAGTCCTCAGTTAGTAACTTGTGCCACAGTTTTTACATGTGCTTCCCTCCAACCCCAAGTCTTTGTGTCAGTGTCCCCAGTGTCCTGCAGCGGAATAGGGGCCTGGGGACCATGCTTGTGGTGGTGTGTGCAGAACCATGGCCACTTCTGGCCAGGGGGCAGTATCAAGCTGAGGATTAGCAGAGCTTTTCCAACCTAGCAGAAGCCAGCAGGTGTATTCAGGGCCTTGTCTGCAGAGGTGCGTTCCAGTTTCATATGTTTTTGTGGTGATGAGGATTCCATGTGGGGCTTCTGGTGTGCCAGGCAAACGCTGTGCCCAGCTGTCATGTTCTGAATGTCAGAAGCAAGGCCCATCCACCATCTGTTCCAGCTCTGCAGCTCCCCGGCCCTGTTCTGCCTTACACAGCTGCTCCCTGTGGGTGTGGGTGTGCATGCCCTGCACGGTGGCCCCAGTCAGTATCACCAGAAACCTATGGTTAAAACCCTATTAGAGCTGCTGAGGGGATTGTGTTGAAACAATGCCCTGCTCCACCTCCCTTTTGTCCCTCAGCTCCAGGCAATGCTGCATCCCCAGACTGTTAAATGACATGAGCCTCATTCCCATTTTGCCTCTTAAACATGAAAGCTGCTGTCCACCCTGGGACCCTAAATGACAACACACTTCCCAAAGGCTGGTAGGCTGATCCTGGCAGGGAAAGGAGCGAGGCTTGACCTGTGTAAACGCATGCTTTGAGGAAGGAACAGGCGCTCAGGATTTAAGTGTGGATACGGATTTGAGGTGGGGGGGTGCTTCACTAAGGGGTTAAAGTCCATCTGGAGGGCGTTTCAGACAAGTTCTTCACTCCCGGGTCGAGACCGCAGCAGGGTCACTGCGCAGGCGCGCGCGTGCCCGGGAGCGCGTGCCCCGGAGTGCGCAGGCGCTGCCTTGCCCACAGCGTAGAGTCGTGGCTCCGCCCTCCTTGCACCTTCTGAGCTGACCGCGCTGTCCCTGCGCCATGGCTGCAGTCAGGGCTCTGGCGGTGCCGAGGCTGGCGGCGGCCTCTGTACTCGCGCCGCTCCCTGGGCGCCTGCGGTCCCTCCACGGCTCAGCGCCGCGTCCCGGGGCCCGAGTGGCGCTGGTGAGTGCGCGCTGCTGCCCCTCCGCGCTGACCCGTCCTGCGCAGTACCTTGTCCTCCTCTGTCCCTCGCCGCCCACTCTGTGAAGTGTCCCCTCCCAGCTTCCGACCCCTCCCTGCCTTCGTGCCCCCCCGCCCCTTACCCCCTCGTCTCCGCTCCCAGTCACCACCCCCCCCCCCCCCCCCGCCCCTCTCAGGTGCTGTCTGGCTGCGGAGTCTACGACGGGACAGAGATTCATGAGGCTTCTGCGTAAGTGAGAGAAAGCTTCTATAAAATTGTTTTTTGCTCTGAAAGGGATTGGAACCGGGTTCTTTGCACTGAGCTATGGAGCAAGCTCAGCTCAAACTTAGAATTCTCTCTGCCTCCCGGAGTGCTGGAATCACAAGTCAGCACCATCATGCTCACTAAATTACTATTTTGTTTATGCCAGACTGGGGATTGAACTCCCCATTGCTGAGATACATCCCGAGCCTTTTTAATTTTGAGACAGAATCAGTGACCCTATATTGCTTAAGCAGGCCTCGACCTCATCCTCCTGTCTCAGGGTTCCAAGTACTTTAGATTACAGGTGTGCACTGCCAGGCTTTGTGTATGACCACTGAACATCTCACTTCTACACTTTTCAGTTGCACATTTACAAACACTTGTAAACACTGGGACCAAGCTTTCCCGCTTTAGGCAAACCTTTCTTCCCTGTGGGAGCTAATTTCCACCCCTGACTTCTCCTGTCTTATACTGTGGAGCCTCAAAAGGCTGTCATTGGAGTTGCTGAGTTTGTGACCCGGTTCAGTAGAAAAGCCCTACCCATCTTCTACATATAACTGTATGGCTTGCCACTGTCATGTTTCCTAGCTCTTCTCCTTTCCCTCTCTTAATTATTAGTTCTCAAGTTCTTGCTTTCCTTTTAGTTGTATTACACCTTTCTATTTGTATTGGTACTTAAAGTTTAACATATCAATGCTTGATGAAAAATACCTGTTCCATGTTATGCCTAAGATGTTTGATATTCAGACAGATAGTGAGGTTAAGCTTAACAGCCTAGGTT